AGTCAGAGTTTTCCTCTCTGCGATTTTAATACGCATTGAGGCGACCCTCCCGTCCACCGGGACAAACTCCAACTGTACTGCCACCAGCCGGGGACTCGTGAGTATCCCCACACCCGCCCGGTGCCTCTCACCTTGTGCAACCCCGGAGTAGGAGAGGGACCAACCCCTATCCAGGAGTTTGGTTCCAGAGCCGATACTGTGGGTGGAGGTGAGCCCAACTATATCTAGTTGGTACCTCTCAACCTCCCGCACAAGCTCCAGCTCCTTCCCCCCCAGTGAGGTTACATTCCACGTACCAAGAGCCAGTTTCTGCCGCAGGGGCCTAGGCCACCAAGGGCCCCCCTGCAATCTCCCACTGCCTGTACGGCACTGCACCACTCCCCCATGCTGGACCTTGCGGGTGGTGGGCCCACATGGTCCCCCCACGTTGCCTCTTCGGACTGAGCCCGGCCGGGTTACGTGGGCTGCCCGGCCACCAGGCGCTCGCCGAGGGACGCTACCCCCAGGCCTGGCTCCAGGGGTAGGTCCCGGTGACCCTCTCCCGGGCAGGGTACACGATGTTCTATGCCCGTTTTTCATGGAGGTTTTTGGATCGAGTTAGTCTGGGTCTTCACTCCAGACCTGTTCGCCCTGGGAGACCCTACCAGGAGCATGTTGCTCCCGACGACTTAGCTCTGAAGATCCCTAGACCACACAAGCCCTTCTGCCACGACAAGGCCCCGATCCAGGAAGGGTTAGAACTGAACTGAATGCAATGATTTGCAAATCATGTAGAACTTGATGGCAGCAACACATCTTCAAAAAGTTAGGAGGGCTGGAAAAGTAAATGGTACTAATAAAAACAGCTAGAGGAGCAATTTGTGACTAACTCACATGACTGGGTATAAAAGGCGCATTTTAGAGAGACAGAGTCTCTCAGAAGCAAAGATGGGCAGAAGTTCACCAGTCTGCGAAAAACTGCATCTAAAAATTGTGGGACTATTTCAGAAAAATGTTCCTCAACGTAAAATTGCGAAGACTTTAGAAACCCCATCATCTACAGTACATAATATCATCAAAAGATTCAGAGAATCTGGAGAAATCCCTGTACGCAAGGGACAAGGCTGACGGTCAATTTTGGACGCTAGTGGTCTTCAGGCCCTCAGGCGGCACTACATTGAAAACAGGCATGATTCTGTACTGGAAATCACTGCATTGGCTCAGGAACACTTCCAGAAATCACTGTCTGTGAACACAGTCCGCTGTACAATCCACAAATGCAAGTTACAGCTGTATCATGTACAGAAGAAGCCATATGTCAACACAATCCAGAAACGCAGCCATCTTCTCTGGGCCAATGCTCATTTAAAATGGACTGAGGTAAAATGGAAAACTGTTCTGATCTCTGATGGTCTGGGGTTGCATTAGTGCACATGGTGTGGGCAGCGTGCATATCTGGAAAGGCTCTATCAATGCTGAACAGTATATAGAGGTTTTAGAACAACATACACTCCCATCCAGACAGCATCTCTTTCAGGGAAGGCCTTGCATATTTCAGCAAGACGATGCTAAACCACATACTGCATCCATCACAACAGCTTGGCTTTGCAGAAGAAGAGTCCAGATGCTGAACTGGCCCGCCTGCAGTCCAGACCTTTCACCAATAGAAAACATTTGGCGCAGGTAGAATCCTACATCAGACAAGAATGGGACAACATTCCTCTCCCAAAACTCCAGCAATTGGTCTCCTCACTTCCCAGACATTTACAGACTGTTGTTAAAAGAAGAGGGGATGCTACACAATGGTAGACACGGCCCTGTCCCAACTTTGAGATGCACTGCTGCCATCAAGTTCTAAATGAGTTAATATTTTTCATGAAATGGTAAAATGTCTCACCTTCAACATCTGATATGTGTTCTATGTTCTATTTTGAATAGAATATGGGTCTATGAGATTTGTAAATCATTGCATTCTGTTTTTATTTACATTTATTTACATATTACACAGCGTTGCAACTTTTGTGGACTAGGGGTTGTATGATACCAAGGTAGATGATACACTATATTGCCAAAAGTATTCACTCACCCATCCAAATCATTGAATTCAGGTGTTCCAATCACTTCCATGGCCACAGGTGTATAAAACCAAGCACCTAGGCCTGCAGACTGCTTCTACAGACATTAGTGAAAGAATGGGTCGCTCTCAGGAGCTCAGTGAATTCCAGCGTGGTACCGTGATAGGATGACACCTGTGCAACCAGTTGTGCAACCAGTTGTGACATTTCCTCACTACTAAATATTCCACAGTCAACTGTCAGTGGTATTATAACAAAGTGGAAGCGATTGGGAACGACAGCAACTCAGCCACAAAGTGGTCGGCCATGTAAAATGACAGAGCAGTGTCAGCGGATGCTGAGGCGCATAGTGCGCAGAGGTCACCAACTTTCTGCAGAGTCAATCGCTATAGACCTCCAAACTTCATGTGGCCTTCAGATCAGCTCAAGAACAGCGTAAAGAGCTTCATGGAATGGGTTTCCATGGCCAAACAGCTGCATCCAAGCCTTACAGCACAATGCAAAGCGTCGAATGCAGTGGTGTAAAGCGCCGCCGCTGGACTCTAGAGCTGTGGAGATGTGTTCTCTGGAGTGATGAATCACGCTTCTCCGCCTGGCAATCTGATGGACGAGTCTGGGTTTGGTGGTTGCCAGGAGAACGGTACTTGTCTGACTGCATTTTGCCAAATTGCATTGTGTGTAAAGTTTGGTGGAGGGGGGATTATGGCGTGGGGTTGTTTTTCAGGAGTAGGGCTCTGATAGTTCCTGTGAAAGGAACTCTTAATGCTTCAGCACCAAGAGATTTTGGACAATTACATGCTCCCAACTTTGTGGGAACAGTTTGGGGATGGCCCCTTCCTGTTCACCAGTGCACAAAGCAAGGTCCATAAAGACATGGATGAGCGAGTTTGGTGTGGAAGAACTTGACTGGCCTGCACAGAGTCCTGACCTCAACCCGATAGAACACCTTTGCGATGAATTAGAGTGGAGACTGCGAGCCAGGCCTTCTCGTCCAATGTCAGTGTCTGACCTCACAAATGCGCTTCTGGAAGAATGGTCAAAAATTCCCATAAACACCTAAGCCTTGTGGAAAGCCTTCCTAGAAGAGCTGAAGCTGTTATAGCTGCAAAGGGTGGGCCGACATCATATTAAACCCTATGGATTAAGAATGGGATGTCGCTCAAGTTCATATGCGTGTGAAGGCAGACGAGCGAATACTTTTGACAATATAGTGTATGTCTGCATAATCTTGTAGACTATTACACTAATATAGTGAAGCAAGTGATTGAACACTGTCTACCATGCACTGCAGTGTGAAATATAGCATGTCATGTCATGCTAAATATAGCATGCAGGTTTATTTATTATATATTTAGCATTAAATATTTAAACTTATTTAGCATGACAATTTGTGAGTTTTGTTTTCATGTTGCCTATTTTATCCATTTGGTCATGTTCTCTAATCTTTTACCCCAGGAGAACCTCAGGAGTTCAGCTGTTGCCTCTAAATGACTTTGCTGTTTCCCATATGTGGTGTTGCAGAGGTGATGGGTACATTTTTACTTTTTGCACAGAGTGATCATTTCCTTGGAAGAAATATTAATATTACTTTTACTGAACATTACTGAAGTGATGTTAACTTTGTCTGTTCTATCACAAGACCAAAAAATCTTGTACATGCTTAATATATAGTGACAGACTTCTTTGTATTTGGACAGGTTGGAGAGGTTATGGACACTTTGGAGATGCCTAGTAGAAACCTGGTGGAAAATGCTGTGTAGCTTCTGAATACTTTTATAGGTCTGCTCCAGATTTTGTACTTTGTCTTACAAGACCTTGTTGAACCAAGAAATGTAGAACATGACTGATTTTTCATCCACAGCATTCATACACACATTGTAAACCCCAACAACAAAACCTCATATCTCCAAAAAGGTAACTTTACAGGAAAAGTAAAAATGTTCTTACCTTTTAATGGAAGTAAATGTAGAAATATTTTTGCCAAGTAACTTTGGAGCATTTCTGTTGGCCATGTATCATGAAATTCTGAGGCAATTGCCTTTTTCAAATTATATCCAAAAATGAATGAACAAAAATGGAGGTATCAGGTTTTGTCCCGACAGCATTAATGTGACAAAAACCCATGAATAAACAGCTAGACAGCCATTTTATCAGAAATTAACCAAGAGATAAACAGCACAAGACCAAGTTAAGTCCATCACACCCAGCCTGTTCAACAACACAATCAGCACAACATTCAACAAATAACACTAAATATGAGATCTGTAAAAAAAGATAAAAGAGATTCTAATAAAATGAAATATCAATACATGTAGAGCTTAAGTCAGAGTTCATAACAAACAGAATAATCAGAACACGTACAGCAGGTATTAAATCAGACCAGTAAAGCTAAATGATGTAACATCAAAATACTACAGAATACAATTATTAAACCCCTCTTTGGGGAAACTCAAGTCTAAACTTTTCAATGGGTGTGCCGCAGCTGTATTAGCAGGCTATGTTAAGTTAGCCATGCTTGCCAAGCCATGAGGCACTAGAAGCTTTCGATTAGAGAAAATGTGGCCAGTCATTTTGAAACAATGTGTTAGTTTGCATAGCTACAGCCTCTCATTTGGTGAAGCCTGTTTTCTCCAGTGTCCTCAGCCATTATTTTTCTGTGCTGCTGATTGGCTAAAGGCAGTGCACTGTATCTGATGGAGGAGTTAGGAATATAAAGGGTTCTATAACTGGTGCCCAACGACACTAGCAGAGATCACAGTCACAGCTCCTAGAGCTGTAAACTGGGTTCCAGATTTTCAATCCTCCGGTTTCACTGACTGATAATGAAAAAGCACTTAAGTGTTTGGTAAAAAATCTTAAATATACAATAAGTGTAGGTGCCAATCTGTACTCACACACTGGAGAAGAGTGGAGATCACTGCCTTTAACAGCACAGCTGTAGCTGACCGCTTCACTGACCACAGGTACAGAGCAGGAGGCAGATTCACACTGAGATACAGGCTGTCTGTTCTTGTACCAGATGTAAGTGGGGTTGCTGGGCAGAGTGCAGGTGGAGCTACAGGTCAGTGTTACTGTCTGTCCCTCTGTGGCTGCAGAACCTTCCACTTTCACCTGCAGGCCTTTATCAAAAACACCTGAAACACACAAAATTAGCCATAATGAAAGTAACTGCAGTGAACAAACTGAACTATAACAGTTTAAAGTGAGGCCTTACAGACAGCAGGAGAGCGGAGCTCCTCGTATCCTTTCACAGCGCAGGAGTAGCTGCCTGCATCCACAGTTCTGTCTCTCAGATTCAGTTCATTTCTGTTCTGGTTAAATACAGGCTGTCTGTTCTTGTACCAGATGTAAGTGGGGTTGGGCAGAGTGCAGGTGGAGCTACAGGTCAGCTTCTTTACTCCTCCATCTGTATCTGACACTGTAACCTTCAGATCTGCAGGTGATTTTAAACAAGGTTTAGTGTTATTTTCATCTGTAGATACTCTTACAGTTAACTACACTCACTGTATGTATCTAGTAGGGGTGTGTATGGATACTCGGTTAACTGTTCCAGGTGTCAGTATCTGAACACTGAAATCACTGTTGGGGTTTTTGTTACGCTGCATCACAGAAAATAAAGGAGGAAATAATACAGGTCAACTTTTTTCCCAGAGATTAACCCAAAAATCTATTCATTCACTTTTAGAGATACTGGAATATCAGAATTAGTCAGAATGCAGGTCTTTATTATCCAGAGTTACCTGTGACAGACAGAGTGACTCCAGGTTCGCCGGTGTATTTGCCCTCAGGATCATCAGTGTAGAATCTGAACCTGTATGTGTCAGCGTCACTCTCTCTCAGGTCAGTGATGGTCATTCTACAGTAGTTCAGGGTCTGGCTGTACTGCACTCTCCCCTTATACAGATCAGACTCTCCCACATCCACAGGCTCAACACCAGGCTGCCAGCGACTTTCAATGAACCAGAGTGATTTAGTCACTGTGAGTCCTTCAGGGTGTTTATAAGTGCAGGAGAAATTAACTGATGATCCTTTCAGAGCACAGACACGTTCAGCAGTGTAGGTCACACCCCACTGCTGTTTACCTGGAACACAGGAAGAAGGAATTTTATCAGTCTATAACTGTAATATCCTCATTAATTACTATTTAGCTAAGCTGTCCAGCATTATATTATAGAAATGATCTCTAATTTAAAAATGATGTGTGTTGTTCTTTAAAATTCTTTTAAATTTAATTTAAATTGTCCCAGTCATTCTACTGTCTAACATTTCCAAAGAATGACAATCATTAAAAGTCCACCTAGAGATGTAATTTAAGCTCTTCCTCTCAGAAAAAAAGCTGAGGGAAACAGCAAAGAGAAAGAAAGGCAGACACAGACAGTGACGAAGAGGGAGAGAGAAAGATGTACTACATTAAATACATATTGTTACGTAGCTTTCTGCTATGTTGACTCCTGTACACAATAGTGCATCCTGTACATACTGATATCATTATCCTGTAGCATAATTCATTTATACTGTAAAATAGTGTTCTTGATTTTGATCTTGATTTATTTCTAATAACTGACAATATTCACATGCATTTTTCAGCACTCCTGTTAGCACCCCCTGAAAATCGTTCAGCACACCTGTTAGCACTGAAAAATGCTGATTGTGAATCTTTTCCACCTTTCCTTGAAATAGGACTTATTTCAGCGTCTTCAGTGTCTGTATGCACCTTGGTATATACTTAAATGCAGTAACTCACTCGAGTAACTCCGTGTTCATATATATAATCACATCACATATCAGAATTCTGTAAAGCCAAATCATATTATACCACTACACTATAATACTTGTAATGTGTTTATGTGAAAAAGAGTGAAAGTGTAAGCATGTGGGTGCATTTATTTACCTGAGCCTCTCAGACTGTCTGCAGGTGAAGCTGATATCTGATGGTCTGATGGACAGAGTGGAGACAGTGTTAAACACTGATGATAATATTCAGAATATAACATTAACACAGTAATTGTATTTTGTTATTGTACCTAAATATACATTCAGATGATCTAAACTATACTTAATTACATCATCAGGAGAAAAAAAACTTTCACTCCTCATATTTTCATTTAGACCTTAAGAGTACACGTTACAGATTTCAGGAGATTTATTTTTAATGGAAAATAATGTAAGAAAACTTTCACGACAGTAATTGTGCACCTTTTTTGTATGTTAAATCATCATAACATTTACACACAACAAACAATAGCAATTTTAATTATAAAGACAAAAGAAAAATGAAAAAAATGGAGAAGGTGTTCTGACAGCAACACTACATGTTGTGTCTTCAGCGCAAAAGAAGACAATGTGAGAAACACCTTCACAAGAATGCTCTTTCATTTACATGCAGCAGGGGGAAACCTGCCGCCCAGCGCTGTCAGAATGGCCATGAAGCAGGGCAGGTCACCTCCAACCACATCTCACTCTAACGATATGCACAAAGACCCACTAATCAGCAGAGGATTTTGTTCCAACTGCCTGGACAGCTCTGCTGGTGGTTTGATCTAACTAGAGAAGCCAGGCTGTTGGAACAAAATCCTGGACCTGAATTTTACACCTCTGCTAATCAACCCCACAGACCAGCACAATACAACAATAACACATATACACGTCCCCAAACCCACAACAACAATGAGGTTTTTAAGTCTAGTCACGCTCGCCGCTCCGCATGGCCACGTGGATGTTCTCCTGCAGCTATTCTCTGGGTTTATTCTGACAAAGACCCTCAATGTGAAAGAAGGATTAGTCGCCTTCAGGTGGATGTGTGTCAGAGCAGAAAGGAACTGGGTCAGCTGAGAGCTTAAAGCTAGAGAGTGCAGAGGTGAGGTGAGAGTGAACTGTTAGCTAATGCTTGTTCATTCTACAGCATGTGGCTGTGGCTGAATTCAGCCCTTACTAAAGCACAGTAACTTGTGTGTAAGCTGTGTGTTTGTGTGTTTCCTTTAACTGCAGTAAACACTTTTACATGTGAAGTATATTTAAAAGAGTAGCGTTATAGAAGAAGGTGTAGTATCCAAGCTCCAGGTGTAATCTGACATTGCACGTTTGGAATGTTTAAGTGAAGGGGCCCCTGGTACAAAGGCCCAAGGCACAATGTCCCTTTCCACTTTAGTTCCAGATGAATGAGACTATTCTAAGAAGGACTATATGTTCCGTCTCCTTTTTCCATAACAACCACCCTATATAAGCAGTAGGTCATACTGCTTGGCAGGGGACACTTCAGAATTGGCATGGATCCCCTCTCAGGTACTTCATGGTGCTTGATATGATACTGTTTTACTTTGTAATAAACATCTTATACAAGCATCCCAAAGGTGTTCTATCGGGTTGAGGTCAGAACTCGCTCATCCATGTCTTTATGGACCTTGCTTTGTGCACTGGTGCGCAGTCATGTTGGAACAGGAAGGGGTCGTCCCCAAACTGTTCCCACAAAGTTGGGAGCATGAAATTGTCTAAAATCTCTTGGTGCTGAAGCATTAAGAGTTCCTTTCACTGGGACTAAGGGGCCGAGCCCAACTCCTGAAAAACAACCCCACACCATAATCCCCCCTCCACCAAACTTTACACTTGGCACAATGCAGTCAGACAAGTACCGTTCTCCTGGCACTCCAGAGAACATCTCTCCACAGCTCCAGAGTCCAGTGGCGGCGCTTTACACCACTGCATTCGATGCTTTGCATTGCGCTTGGTGATGTAAGGCTTGGATGCAGCTGCTCGGCCATGGAAACCCATTCCATGAAGCTCTCTACGCTGTTCTTGAGCTGATCTGAAGGCCACATGAAGTTTGGAGGTCTGTAGCGATTGACTCTGCAGAAAGTTGGCGACCTCTGCGCACTATGAGCCTCAGCATCCGCTGACCCCGCTCTGTCAATTTACGTGGCCGACCACTTCATGGCTGAGTTGCTGTCGTTCCCAATCGCTTCCACTTTGTTATAATACCACTGATAGTTGACTGTGGAATATTTAGTAGTGAGGAAATTTCACGACTGGACTTGTTGCACAGGTGTCATCCTATCACGGTACCACGCTGGAGTTCACTGAGCTCCTGAGAGCGACCCATTCTTTCACTAATGTCTGTAGAAGCAGTCTGCAGGCCTAGGTGCCTGGTTTTATACACCTGTGGCCAAGGAAGTGATTGGAACACCTGAATTCAATGATTTGGATGGGTGAGTGAATACTTTTGGCAATATAATGTGAAATGAAACTTGGATATAACTTAGTCAGTGTCCAGCTTGTATAGCAGTATAGATTTACTGTCCTCTGAAAAAAAACTCAACACACAGCCATGAATGTCTAAATAGCTGGCAACACAAGTGAGTACACCTCACAGTGAACATGTCCAAATTGTGCTCAAAGTGTCAATATTTTCTGTGACCACCATTATTATCTAGCACTGCCTTAACCCTCTTGGGCATGGAATTCACCAGAGCTGCACAGGTTGCTACTGGAATCCTCTTCCACTCCTCCATGATGACATCACAGAGCTGGTGGATGTTAGACACCTTGCGCTCCTCCACCTTCCACTTAAGGATGCCCCACAGGTGCTGAATTGGGTTTAGGTCTGTAGACATATTTGGCCAGTCCATCACCTTTACCATCAGCAAGGCAGTTGTCATCTTGGAGGTGTGTTTGGGGTCGTTATCGTGTTGGAAAACTGCCATGCGGCACAGTTTCCGAAGGGAGGGGATCATGCTGTGCTTCAGAATGTCACAGCACATGTTGGAATTCATGTTTCCCTCAATGAACTGCAGCTCCCCAGTGCCGGCAGCACTCATGCAGCTCCAGACCATGAGGCTACCACCACCATGCTTAACTGTAAGCAAGTTTATCTTGGTCTTGCGAACTGTACCAAAAAACACCAAATTTAACAGCCCTGCTCCCCATTCACACCTGGAACCTTGTAACTCTAATGAGTCACATGTGTGTGAAAGTGTGTGTGTGTGTATATATATATATATATATATATATATATATATATATATATATATATATATATATGAAGAATACACTCAAACAAGAATAAAAAAGTAAAATTTTAACAGAAATTCTGTCACTTAAGTACAGTTTCTACTGACTTTTTCCACCCTGTTAACAGAACCAAGAGCTACTCAGAGACGTGTGAAGATGGTGGAGACCTCATAACCACAAAAGAGCTGACCTCAGTTTAAAACAGCTTCAAAGCTTTAACAGAGTTAATCACACAAATAAGCTCTGATGATGAAGATCTTCAGCTTAAAGCTGCAGTTAGTCTGAATGTTCTGTGAGTTTAAGAGATTATAAAATGGTATCAGTTATTAATCTGTAGTTACTGCAGCTCTGCTGTTCGTTCTAAAGCCACTTCCTGTGACTGAATCGTGTCAAATGTATTAAAATGTTCTGAAACACACTGTAACTGTTATATGTTGAAGGATTTTTAGTCTCTACACGTTAATCTGACACAGATGTAGATCAACGCTGTGGAACACAAACACATTAAGAGCAGAAATGTAAATAAATGTAAAGTTTACCTGCCAGTAAAATGAGGATCAGTGCTGCTGTAATATTTGCTGAGCTCTGGGAAAACATGGCAGCATCACTCTTCAAACACAGCGGATACCTGAAGGTCCAGAAGGTCCAGAAGCTCCTCACTCTGACTCTCCTACACTTATGAACTGTTCTGATCTCAGCAGAGAGAAAGTCAGCAAAGACACTGAAGACGTGATCTGCATTGTGTGTTCTGTCGTCACTCCTCCCCTTTCAGCTCAGAGTCACTTCCTTTTTCACTCAACGCTCTCAGAAAGACGTCTGAGTGTGATGATCATTTTATTTCTGTTATTCTTTGTGAGGATCATCTCATCACTGTCAGATCAAAACCTACTGACATTCATT